TCATAATCCTGACCACCGATGGCGTGAATCACGTGATGTCGGACAAGGAAGTGGTGGATGCGGTGCAGAGTTGCGGCAAACCGTCAGAAGCGGCCCAATTCGTGACGGACCAGGCGTTGCACTACGCCTGTCAGGACAACGCCACGGCAGTGGTGGTGCCCTTCGGGGCGTGGGGTAAGTTCAAGAACCACCGGCGCGACTACAACCAGTTCTACAACTTTGGACGCGAGCTCTCCAACAGCACCCGATTCTGACACCACTTCTCGCCTTCTTTTGCCACTATTTTCTATTTATTTTGTTGTTTTTGTTGTTTTTGTTGTTAAATAAAATATACTTTTAATGACCACAAGAAACCCAAAACTTGTGAATATTTCAGTGATTATTAATTAATTAAATAATAATTTTATGTATTAATACAAGAATCAAGTGTCTGTCCACAACCACTACACTCAACCAATACTACGGTATAGTTAAGACAATTAGTATTTTGAAGTGATGTGCGAATAAAAGCTTTCATTTCAATCATTTTTCTATTCATTTCAATCAATACTCACATTTGACACAACTTTTCAGTAAGTTTTCCTCGATGTCTACCCCTTTTGACTCCACTCTTGGGATAACCCCGACATTAACACCAGAGATCGGTGATGATATCACCGCTGGATATGGCGTTCGGCGCCAACTCTTGAGACCAAATGTGATGATAGTTCGCCAGTAAAGACCGGTTCTCATCGACTGTTTACATGACTTCATGAGACAAGTGCCGCGATTCTGGCGTTATTAAGGTTTGCAGAACTTGTGTTCAATATATGGCATTAATTATGAGATGACAATATGGGCTGTGAAGCCATAAACATATTGCAGAAATCAATGGATGTGTATAATAGTGCACGAATAGGCTGTCCTGGCTAAACATTACTCTATAACTAGAGATAAAATTCTGTGTATTCATAGACTGTAATCAAAAAGTGTATGGTATTCTTGCATTCATTTCAAATCAGAGAATTTACTGTTAGTTTTGGCCAAAAGTTTTAATTTGGAAAAATAGTTACACATATCGTATGTTCAAAATAAAGAGTTTCTTAATTATAAGTCTCGTATTGTGTTATACATTGAGATTCAATGGACGAGTGAATGGTTTTAACAGTGATTTCGCAAAACTAGAGAATCTCTTAACGCGAGAGAAACCAATGATTGAGTCGTTGAGTGAATATTTGGTGTCCGAAGAGGTCCTCAATTCTCGCTTAAGACGACTGACAGACAACTCGTTGAGTTTGAACTCAATTGCACTGAAAGAGGACACCGAGGGCTCACTTTTAGGACATCCACTCGACGTATATCTCCTCATCAGACGAATGGCTATCGACTTGAAAGAAGTGAACGATTTGTTGCGAACCAAAGACCATCGCTTAAGTGATGTCCAAATAAGACAAATCGGTGATCACTCTAACCATACAAATGCATTGAATGTCACGTTTGACTTCGGTTTTTGTCCAGTAGTCATGATATTATCACTAATAAGGAGTTAAAAGGTATTGAAAAAAGTTTTAGTTAATAATAGAGATGTTAATAAAATCATTGATAACTTGTGGACAGACGCCGCGTTTGGAGTGATAAGTCTCGTCAATACCTATGATTTGGATATCAAGTCATTAGCGAATGGATTCATTAGATCAAAGAGCAGTTCCGGTGCTGAAGTGACTTCATATGAAAATCAATTCAAATTTGCTTTAAGTCTAAATGCTTTCGACTGCTATTTGATTGGAAAACAAACGTTTGATAACAAGGAGTACTCGAATGCAAAGCAATGGTTGACAGAAGCGGTCGATAGATTGGATGACATGACCAGCGATGAGATAATTGCAGACATTTTTAATTACCTGTCGTTTTGTGAACTGAAAATCGGAAAACCAAGTGAAGCCCAGAAATATAAGAGACTGTCGGCCGCTATAAAGCCAGACATCGAGACAAATGAGTTGATATCAGAGATCAAAGTGTTTAATGACACGAATACCACTTCTTCTCGTCTCAAAGAACCAATTTATCATTCGTTTCATTCGGCAAATGTATACCAATTATGTCGAGGAGAAAGACTTCTGAATGACTCGATTGTCTCGAAACTCAAGTGTTTTCACTTAAACACAACGAAAACATCGTTTTTACGGTTGACTCGCATTAAAGTGGAAGAGATGTACAAAAGTCCGCAAATCGTTGTAATCCATGAATTGCTGTCGGAATACGAGACACAAACCATCATCTCTATGGCTCAGCCATCATTAGAAAGGCTATACGTTTTTGGAGACGAGGGTAAAAGGGATGTCAACGATGGTAATAGACGACTGGCCCAGGGTAGTATTATTTGGGACACACAGCACAAACTCATGCACACTATCAGCCGACGTATCGGTGCCATTACTGGCCTTAACATGGATTTTGTCGAACCGTACAAAGCTATGAAGTATAGGGTCGGCGGATATTTTAACGACAACTTCGACACGTATTTTTACAAACCAAATACAACATACATGGAGCGCATCATCACTTGGATCAACTACCTGAGCGATGTGGGTGCCGGTGGGGCCACAGTATTCACACGTCTCAATGTGACCGTACGACCCGCAAAATACTCGGCAGTGTTTTGGCATAATTTGGACAAATCAGGTGAACTCGACGGACAGACACTGCACAGCGGGTGTCCTGTACTGGTGGCACACAAATGGATTGCCAACAAATATGTCCTATCGATGGGACAGAAGTTTCGCAAACCATGCGATCCATACGATCGACAATCACGTCATTACATTCAATGAGACAAACATATAATGTGTTTATTATAATCAACTTTTTGTAATCATAATTCAGTAATAATTACTCATATATTGTTGTGGTTTGAGGTTTAGGTTAAACTTCTTCTTCTCGTCCTTTTTCGTCGTCTTCTCCAACATCTGATCCACGCTTTCATTCGTGAAGAGCTTTGTTTTGCCCAACAGTTTCAGTGTATGGACTGTGAAACCGATGATAGGAATCGAGGTATTCTTCTTGTTGTGAGAACTCATTCTTAGTGCGAGAATTCGTGTCAACGGTTGACAACAAAATATTTGATCACAATTTACACTTAAAATCAATAAAACCTTTAAATATCTAAGACTTTAACCACAAATTGTTTGTATTTAATAAATCAGTTTAACATTTGAGTGTCTCATTTGCAATAATGATATTCAAGTGAATGCATAGGACTTCAGTGACCGTTTGAATTAATTGACGCAAACCTTTTTCGACGTAAGGTTTGTCTCATTGATTGCTTTTCAATAAGAAATCAATTTATAACTGATTTGTCATAAAATACTTTCGTTTCGTTTGGTATTAGACTAGAAGTGAAACGTTGTCTCAAATGGAAAACTCGATTATCTTTGCATATCTCACTATAATTCTCATCATTTACATCATAGCTATTGTAAAAACTAACCAAGCTCACTTTCAAAATACTTATAATTTTCTAATTCTATGTATAGTTAATGTTAATAACGGTTTGGTTTAGTATTAACAAAAATCAACTGAAGGCCAAAACCTATGATTTAAAACTATTACCCATAACTGTACCATCAATGCAATGTCTAAACAAAAGTCAAAAGGTTTACCATTTATTCACTGATTATTTGTGATTAACTCATAATTATATGCTTAGAATTCAATGAATCGAATTCAACGGGATATCCGCGGACTCAGTCCTTAACTGAATCCTCGGTCACTGACACCAAAACTGCTGAAGAATTGCATAAATTAATGCCACAAACGCTTATGAGTTATGAAGAGGAAGACAAGTCTGCAGATGTAGTCAAAGCTGCGGTCACTCCCGATGAGACAACACTACCAGTGGTGGCGCCTACTCTTGAAACCACTCCTGAATCGCAAAAGTCTTCAGTTGAACGGACTTCTGGATCTCAATCGGTGCCCAACGAAGACAATCAGAATTGAATGTTTAGATTCTGTCTGATGCTATAAATTCTGATTAATTACAATACAATATATTTATAACTTATTTCTCTCTATTTACGGAATATTCTATGCCTTATGTATAAAATTAATTCATTTTTACTCAAAACTTAAAAATAAATCAAATATTTGTATAAATGTGTCATTTACTGATAACTCAAATAATAAAATGCTTGAAATGAAAGTGCAATCAAACAATCAAATGATGGCTTTTCTGATTGCATTGATATAGTGATGTGGAATCCAATCAAACCAAAGACTCTGATTGTGTTTCAATTGAATCCATAGAATAGCGTACTCTTCGTGTCCTTCGTGTATAAGACTTTATTGAGACGTCCCATTGTATAATAGGCTATAATTTCTGAGATTTATTTATTCCGTAAAAAATAAGATTTATTATATTAATACCAGAGAGGAGTCGTTATATAGTCTTATAATAGCAAACAGTTATCTCTCAGAGACTCTCATCCTTTAATTAAGTAACCCTTTGCTTAGCGATCGCTATCCTAATATAAATTAAGCCGTAAAGGGAGGAGGAGATGGTTTACATTCAACGATATCTTTACTGTATGTCTGAGACAGCCATCGATATATACATCTAATACTGTATTTCAACACTAATTTCCATCACATCCTATGTCTTCACACTTTTCTCGCAGTAATTAATTCAAGAAAAAACCAATTTAATTTTAAATTCAATTTAAACTCTATGGAAGTGAAGTTGAATTTCTATACAACAAAAAAAGAGTTATAAAGTTCTGTTAGTTTGTTGTAAATATAAAGTGCTTTTCGTTTGTTATATTAATATAAGTTTTGAGCATTTTGTGAGTCGGATCTGAGAGAGAGAGAGAGAGAGATCTAGTTATACTGAACTCTTGAAATATATTGAGGCATAATGTTGTAATTAATTATGATTTTATTAATAATATGTGCATAAAAACTATAAAACAAAAGATTTTTGCGTCACAAAACCACAGTATTGTGTGTTGAAGTCAATTAGGACTATGACTCTAAATATAGTGTTGTTTCAGTGAAATATATGCATAAGTTATAAATTGTATTCAAATGCGGCGATAAATATTAAATACACATAACGTATGAGCGAAGCATCGATTGTTTGGATGCTATCGTTGTTTGAATAAAAACTTTTTTGTGTGCATTTTGTATATTAGTTACGCTCTGATGAACTGCAAAGTTCATTGCAAAAAGTGCCATTCATATTTCATTAGTGAATATAATCATAATTGTTATAGTACAATATATGATATACTCTTAATTAGAAATATAATAAAAAGTTATCACTGGAATACATAATATAATATTATAGTGTAGTGGAATTATACTGGTGTACAAAATTTAATTATAGTTATAGGATTTAAGATTTAAGGCTTTTTGTGTGCAACTGACGCCTACATGCAAACTGTTTTTAATGAACTTCAGATTCTGGTAAGTATTGCTAATTTTTGCGCTACATTTGCAATTCCTGTTTGCGAGTGAACTCTCTCTCTCTCTCTCTCTCTCTCTCTCTCTCTCTCTCTCTCGCATCCACTCGAATAATAACTCAGATATTCAGATATAAACACAATTTTCTATCATAATAAGCCCAAACAACTGTTATTTTAGCATCCCATTCCCCACTACAGTACAGTATTCATCACTAACTTCTCGGGTAAGGGATGCTAAGCGCTTACACACAGAATGCTTAAAGTGGCGAAAAATTATTTACTTTTGACTTAATTTAATTCAATTCTCATCTGACATGACATACAATGTTATTAGTGTCGTATTTTTAGCACATATTCGGCACTTTTCAATGCATTTAAGTGGAAAAATTTTGTTTTAGTGGTGTGTATATAAGTTACTAATATAACAGTACTTTAAAATTCTAATTAATATATTTTACGAATTCATTTATTCGGTTAATTTTATTTTAATCTCTTTGCTATCATATGTAAAAATGTATAGAAATGAGAACTCCTTTGCCATTTAGATTACCGTATATTCCTATGTATAAGGAATTAATTTTCGCGCACACAGTATGACATTTCTGCAGCAAAATAAGGTATTTTTATGTTTGAAAAAAGTTTATTTCTCTCCCTTTTTGAGAGAAGTCTATGAACTTTACGGAAGCTTTTCAGTCCCGTATATAATATGTAAAAAAAATCAAATTTCTTCATTTTCTTTGTTATTAAGCCGTATATAAAGAATTATAGCTTTAGATAAGTAAATGTAATAACAGTTTTATTTCATAATATAATTTGTGTCTCTCTCCGATAAAATTGTATATTTTGTTTAATTGATTTTTCACAACATTCATTCCCATTTATAGTAATGAATCATTACTAATGATTTTAAATATAGACAATTTATTGAGACAATTTCGTATAGCCATTTCAACCAATTTCTAGCCCATTTTGCGCAAACCATATACAGAAAGTTATGCGAGATTTCTAGCATTTTTACCATAATTTATATGACTTCTTGTTTTATAGAAAATTTAAAATATTATATATAATTATATAATGACTGCATATACTGTTGAACGGCAATTAAAACCACAGAAATATATATATATATATAATTTTATTTGTTTTTAATAATAATTTGCTGTGTTTTGTTGTTGTTTGTTTGTATCAGGGAAAACGAGTGCTATATTCATGAGATTAAAAACCAATAAAACAAATTGTCGATCTGTTTAATGATTTGGTTACCAATTAATCATAAAATCAGTGATAAGACTGAGAAAATCAAAAAACTAAAAATGCAAACAAACCTCAAACAAGCGACTCGTTTATTATTCTTGCAATGAATTTTTGATTCAATAATTTAAGTGTTTATCTAAT